CCTGAAGTCTCTCTGAGTGACGTTCTCCTGGCTTTGCACCATCACTGACTTGCAGAACCCCTCAGTGTGTCCCCCTGAAGTCCCTCTGAGTGATGCTCTGACTTGCATTTCTGCTTCTGTTACCCATGTGTGCATCTTTCTTTTCTGTTTAAGAATTCAAGAAAAATTATTAAAAAGAAGATTGTTGAGGCCCCGGCCTTTCACCCGACAGGCTTCCCCACGGCCTGGCTCTGCTGACCGCACGCTCTCATGCTGCTGTTGGGTGCGCCTCGGCCGTCCTTCTGCAGATTGCTGCGTGGTTTGGACGCACTTGAGTTCAGTCCCTGCAGCCAGCTCCTTAGTGGCTGAGACTCAGCCTCGGAGCACCTCCTGTCTGCCTGTGTTTCCTTTGTGACGTCAGCAGCCCCTGAGGCTTATTAGCACTGGAGGCCATTGGCCCATTAGGGGATACAAATGATGCTATTCTAGAGGAATCATTTCTTGCTTATTTAGTAGCTGGAATGCTTTCTTATAAAGAGACATTTTCCCTTATCTGATAGTTGGTTGCCCAAGGTGCCGTTTGCCTGAGAAAGATAAGATGAAAGCTTGATTCTTCCTCTGTTTACCGGAGAATGAATGAATTTCCTTTGATTTCTTGAAGGTGACCTGTTTTTATTTTAATGTTGTTATGAACCCATGGATGGAAACGTGTGTGAGGGTTTTACTCTGTTGTGATGATCTTTGCAGAAGCTGAGGTGATCCTGTTTCTAGACAGTGGCAGCCTCTTCAGTGTGGCTCCGACATGATTCTGGTGGTCCTTCCGTGGCGTCCAGGCAGGCGACCCAAGCTGTCCTAGGTTTCTCTTCACCTGGGATCTGCCCTGGGTTCTTCTGTTCATGCTGATACTTAAAAAATTTTTCTTTTATTTACTTTTTACATTTCATTTATGCACTTGTTTGTTTAGAGACAGGATGTTGATCTGCCACCCAGGCTGCAGTGCAGTAGTGCAGTTAGAGCTCACTGTAGCCTCGAGTTTCCGGGCTCAAGTGCTCCTCCCATCTCGGCCTCCCGAGTTGCTAGGAGTGCAGGCGTGTGCCGGCTGGCCTGGCTAACATGCCGATTCCGTCTACTCAAATAAAGTACAAGGTCGTACTTCGTCTGTTATGTCTGCCTCTCCTTGCTTCCATACCAAATCCGGGTTCCAAGATAGTGTTTGATAAAATGTTTCATGATTTTTCATGTGCTTTGCCCATGTTGCATATACGACAGACTTAGGATATAATTTCAGTGCTGCCAATGTCAGTATAATTACTGAAATTCAGAACATGCCCTAATTTTCTCAAATTTATTAAATAATTATACTGCATCTACAAGAGCATAGTAGCTGTTACATACTATACTTTGTTTTCATCTTTGAGTCTTAGTTTTACTGACTGGTCCTTGTGGGGTCTGAAGTGCACTCTGGTGAATTCCTCAGAAGCCTCTGAGATCAGACTTGTTCACAGGAGTGTTTGTCCTTTGAACTGAAAGGTAGTTTTTCTGGGCATTAAAGCGTTGATTCATGTCTTTTTCCTCTGTGAAAGTGTGATAACATCTTTTCCCTTTATAAGTCATGTGTGTTTTTTCAGTAATTTTACTAGAATATGCGTTGACATGGGTCATTCTTGGTGATTTCCCAGGTACGGGTGCTCCTCGCGTCTGTCCTCTCAGTCTGTGATGTGGGACGTTCTCTTGCAGTGTTTGTTCTGTAGCCTTCCTTAGCAGTTTTTTCTAGGGACACTTGGTGACTCTCCATTCATTGGATAGTTGATGCCTTTTAGAGTTAATGTTACTTTCTCTTTCAAGTACTTTTTACCTCTTTTTTTTTTTTTAATTCCTTCCTTTTCTCCTGTTTGTCTTAGGGCGCATCTGCTGTATTTATTTGATTGTACACTGTTTTAGTCTCCACTGGAATGTAGTTTTATTTTCATTTTAATTCTGTCTTCAGCTTTATCATTTAATTTTTTGGTTTTCCTAAGTCTGATTTATGTGGTTCTTTCATGTCTTGTATCATTTTTCTAATTTCATTCAATTTGTTCTGAAATGATAGATTACAGGGCCGGTGTGGTTTGTGAGCTTATCTTTCTGACCTGCCTTTATTATCTATAGGGATGTTACTTTGTTCCTTATTCTCATTTTTCTTTTCTTTTCTTTTTTTTTGAGACAGAGTCTTGCTCTGTTACCCAGGGTGCAGTGCAGTGGCGTGATCCTGACTCACTGCAGCCTCGACCTTCCAGGCTCAAGCCATCCTTCTGCATCAGCCTCCCGAGAAGCCGGGACCACAGGCTTGTGCCACCACAGTTGGCTTTTTATTTTTTGTGGAGCGGAGTCTCTCAGTGTTGCCCAGACGTGTCTCAAAACTCCTGGGCTCAAGTGCTTCTCCCAGCTGAGCCTCCGAAGTGTTGAGAACTACAGGTGTAAGCCAGAGTGTTGAGAACTACAGGTGTAAGCCAGAGTGTTGAGAACTACAGGTGTAAGCCAGAGTGTTGAGAACTACAGGTGTAAGCCAGAGTGCCAAGCCCATTCCCTTTCTCTGACGGTAACTTTTTATTGTGTTTGGTCTTATACTTTTATCTGAAATCATTTTTCTTGAACTTTTAGAATGAGGTGAGATCCAGAAAAGCTTTCTCACCTTGTGGCCCAGGTTGGAGTGTACAGGGGCACGATCTTGGCTCACTGTAGCCCCAGCCTCTGGGCTCAGGTGATCCCCCCGCTTAGCCTCCTGAGTAACTGGGACTACAGGCTGTACCCAGCTAACTTTTAAATTTTTATATTGAGAAAGGATTTCAACATGTTGGCCAGGCCTGTCTTGAACTCCTGAGCTCAAGCAAGCTGCCTGCCTCAGCCTCCCAAAGTGCTGGGATTACCGGCGTGTACCACCTCATCTGGCCCAGAAAAACGTTTTTAAACTTTAAGCTATTACTTCATGACAGAAATGTGAAGAACAAAGGGTGTTTCTAGTCGGCATTTGCCTGGACAAAAATCTGGTGACGCTTTCTCTTTTGTTTCTCTCTCGCTTTATATTCAGGCCACCAACAAGTCCTGTTTTCTCTGCTTTTAGAATGTATTCCAAATTCAACCATTTCTCCCTAACTGCAGACATCTGGGCTAGAGCACTGTGGGGTCTCATCCGGTTTATCATCCTAGCAGTCACATCCCAGCTGCCTGACTGTGTTCCTGCTTCCACTCCCACCCACTGCAGCCCTCCGCAATCAGCTGCCCACAGAGCATCCAGAGAGCGTAGCTTAAAACCAGCCCAAGCCTCTTAACCCTGTAACCCTGGGAGAGGACCTGAACCCCTGCCCCATGTCCCTCCATCCTCCCCACCTCTTTCCCGGCCCCTCGGTGCCATCCTCTGCTAGTCCTTCAAGATCTTCCAGCCTGAAAGAAAACCCTTGTGCCTCTACTTACACACCTCTCACACCAGATGTAGGTTCTCCGCACGAAGCAATTCCCCAGTTCTCTGGACACCAGTTGAGTGCCTTGTAATTCAGTTCATTTCTGTTGCTGACTACCTGGAGTCATCATGAACCCCAAAAGTTGAGGTGCCCCTCACTTCCAGGTGACCGACAGCTTCTGTCTGACCTGGCTGCACGTCGGGCATTTTCACAGCCCTCGGCAGTGCGATGTTGGCTGTAAAGCTTCATCAGGGCAGTGGGGCTGCAGGAGGAAAGTCTGCACGTTGGCCAAGTGGAGGTTTTTTCTGGCCTTCCAGTCCACAGGCATAATCTTCTGTGGGGATGAGTTGGGGAAAAGGGTGACGAGTCTGAGATGCTTGTCTTTGAGGCCAGTTCTTCCGGACCTTCTACCATGCATTAGCTGTTAAACATGGTGTTAGTTTTACAGGTTGTCCGGTGCGCTGTTTCTGCTTGGGGTGCTGATCGGGAGTGGGTGCTGTGTTTTCTGCTCCTTTGTCTCCAGGTGCAGAAGGACTCAGGGTGGAATTTGACCGGCAGTGCTCCACGGAGCGGCGCCACGACCCTCTCACAATCATGGACGGTGTCAACAGGATTGTCTCTGTGCGGTCAGGTAAGGACAGGAGGTTGAGCAGTACGTGATCGGACCACCTGTCTCTCCGTAGACAAAGTCCTTCACATTTGTAGGACAGACGCTGTGACCGTATTCTCATGGAAGTTGAGGAAGGGACAATATGCTGTTCAGCTTTGAAACACAGTAGGTTTGCTTGCCTCTTCCCCATACTTCTGAATACAGTAATTATGTGTGATGTGTGCAGCACATCCCTGTCGGATGAGCCCAGCCTCACCAGGCAGCTGCAGAAGGTGCCGAAGACGTGCGGGGTGCCGGGGCTCTCGTGAGCCGTGGTTGGCCTACAACAGAGCTTCAAGGGATTTGTGTCTTACTGGTTGCAGTGAGGGCCACATGTGGAGTGACTTCTGTATGTAGGTGTAGGCAGCCACATGTCTGGCTTGTCTCTGCTGCTGGGCTTCATGAGGCCAGCGAGGCGGATTAGCACGTCTTTGGGGGCGTGTTACAAGCTCTTTCACCGAGCCTTTTAGAATTGGCAGTGCAGGGTGTGTCTTCTAAGACCTCGTTATCCTTCATCTCAAGTGCTTCCTGTGAAGGGCCGGGTAATGCAGCCTCTGTCATAGCACGCAGACTGGATGCCAGTGGAAGGGCGTGGCTGCGTCCCAGGAAAGCTTTATCCACACAGCATTACTTAGTGAAGTGAAGCTTTGCATGAATTGCTATGGTCCCGGTGGGTGTAGGTTTTTCTGGTCCTTTGACAGATATCTGCCAGTGTAGTTTTCCGTAGTGGTGTTGGATGTGGAAGCCCTTACAGGCCATCCCTGAGCCGTTGCCAGATGGCCCTTCTGAAGCAGAAACCTGTTGGGTTCTCGTGGCCTTCTGAGCTGCTGTGATACAGTGCCACTCCTTTCCACAGCCGCCGGGCCTCTGCTCCCGGGGGGCTGCTCCGCTCCTCCCTCGAGGGCAGCTCTTCCGGGCCATGCTGAACCACACACGTGGGTCCTTTGTGGGGAGAGCTAGGGTTCTTCCTTCTGCTGCCTGGCCACCTGGTTGTATCAGAGCGCTCCTGAGAGATGTCCCCATGACCTGGCATGTGCTGGCAACCCAGAGGCCTCTCACCGTATCCTAGCTGTGTGGGATCATTTCCCCACTGGATGGTGGCTTCTGCCTGGGCAGTGCCCGCCCACCTGCCCTCAGTTTCCCAGGTACCTGGTACAGGGGCTGAATGAGTGTCTGCTGAAGAAAGGTATGTATTAAAATGTGAATCCCAAGAGTGATGTGTTGCTGTGCACTTGAGCTGGGCTCGGAGGAACTTGTTCTCGCACATGACGGAAATCGTTCTGCTTCGTGTCTAAGGAGCTTGTGTTGATTGGATGATGGATCAAAGCTAACTCTGGCGTGCGCTTTCCTCCTCCAGGCCGAGAGTGGTCCGACTGGTCCAGCGAGCTGCGCATCCCGGGGGATGAGTTAAAGTGGAAGTTCATCAGCGATGGGTCGGTCAACGGCTGGGGCTGGCGCTTCACCGTCTATCCCATCATGCCAGCAGCTGGTAAGGGAGGATCTTATGGCAACCAGGGGTAGGTGACTGGCTGTGGGTTGTTTCCAGAACAACATGGACACGTGCACACTCCCATGTGGTGCCTGATGTGTTGGAGTGCATGCTCCCACAGGCCCCACGGAGGTGTGGGTCGGAACACAGAGACTTGTCCCAGCTGTCCAGCTGCCAGGCTCACACTCCTTTTCCCCTAGTGTGGAAGGAGTTGTTGCTGGTGTAGTTCTTAAGACTTTTACAGTGGAAGTGAGTGTGAAGGTTGAGGCTCACCAACTCACAGTGGCATAAGGGGCATATTGGCTGTCGCCTTCCAGTGGGTGGGGCTGGGTGCAGCCACCCTTGTCCGTGGTTGTCTTATGGGGTGCTCCCTAGCTTGTGAAGCATGGGGATGTTCACAGTGCTTATTCACAGGCCCTAAAGAACTCCTCTCTGACCGCTGCGTCCTCTCCTGCCCGTCCATGGATTTGGTGACGTGTCTGTTAGACTTCCGACTCAACCTTGCCTCTAACAGAAGCATTGTCCCTCGTCTTGCAGCCTCGCTGGCTGCGTGTGCGCAGCTGAGTGCCCTAGGTAAGTGGCACCGTGACAGTCAGGGCTCTCTTACTAGTTGGAGGAAACTGTCAGACGTCTGATACTTTCTGTCTGCTCATTTCAGCCGCCAGTCACAGAATGTGGGCCCTTCAGAGACTGAGGAAGCTGCTTACAACTGAATTTGGGCAATCAATTAACATAAACAGGCTGCTTGGAGAAAATGATGGGGAAGCAAGAGCTTTGGTATGGAACATTCTAGTACAATTTCTAGAGTCGTGACCCTTGGGGAATAAAGTGTTGCTTTAGTGGTCTAAACCTCTAAATCATTGAGAAGAGTTGGGGAAGTTCGCCTAAGAATAGGGAGGCCTTTGTCGCAGCCAGACTTTTCCTATGTTGCAGCCCGAATTCAGGCTGGACTTTGTGAAAATATATGTCGACAGCTGTGAACAGTGGATTGTGTCGACTGGGCTTTACAGTGAGGCCAACTGATGACCTCGCCTTATTTTGGTGACTAAAGTAGTCCGTTTTGATCCTACCCATATGAGGAGACAGGCAGCATTTGTAGGCCGGAGAGGGCCTGTTTCTCTGGAAGCGGTTGTACTAAAATCAGCACCAAACATTCTGAGATGAGTCTTCGGACTCCTCTTTTTTATTTTAGTGTTTATGTTCTTTTAGCTTTTTTCCTACTTGAGAATTTTGATACGCTTTTTTTTTTTTTTTTAAAGAAGAAATACTACCCATATATTAAAACATTTGACTGTAAAAACAAATGGTCAGCCTCCCCTGTGTGTGGATTCCCGTGGTAGAATACTGTTCTGTTGCTTCTTAGAGTTTTACAGGTAGTGCTCTTGCTGCTTTGGTGAAAGGTCTTCCAGAAGCTTTGCAAAGGCAGTTTGAATATGAAGATCCTATTGTGAGGGGTGGCAAACAGCTGCTCCACAGCCCATTCTTTAAGGTAACGTTTGACTTATTTTTTAAAGTAACAGTAGGGCCATGTGACTGAAAGAACCACTGAGAGCTGTCACGTCATGTGCAGTGTGTATGTTTGAGGCCGCTCAGGGCAGCTGTAGGTATTGCTGAAGTCAAATATGAAAAGAAGAACTCAAGAAATGATCCTGTGATCTAAACCCTTCAACCATAAGCCTGTAACTGTTAGCATGCCTTGAGATGCACAGGTGTTCTTGCCACTTGACGTAGGCAGCAAGTGTTGTAGCAGTTGTATGGCACGTGGCTGGGAACTGTCAGGGATCGCCACATCACTGATGGCGGCCGTGTCCTTGCTGTGGCCACGGCGGCCATCTTGGAATAGGAGGTTCTGTGGAAGTAGCCACAGAAACCCCAGCCTGTTCTCTGAGTTTCTAAGTGTCCCTGTCTTCGTCTTTTCCGGTGCCCGCAGGTACTCGTAGCTCTTGCTTGTGACTTGGAGCTGGACACTCTCCCTTGCTGTGCCGAGACGCACAAGTGGGCCTGGTTCCGGAGGTACTGCATGGCCTCCCGTGTCGCTGTGGCTCTTGACAAAAGAACCCCGTTGCCCCGTCTGTTTCTTGATGAGGTATTGCATGATATTTTGGAATCACTTTTGGGACGCAAAAACATTTTCCTTATTTAGCTGTAGTATAACAAGATGTCAGTATTATGAGACAGAAAAATGTTGCTTGCCAAGGAATATCAAAGAAAGTAACACATAGGTGAAAATGAGTGAGCTGACACTGAATTTCAGTGGAAGTTGATTTTCAGGAAGCTGCCGATAGAATGATGCTGTCTAGACGTTTTTATGTGTTAGACGTGATGCAGTCATTGTTGGCTTTGCCCGGTGACCACACATTACACTCTTGCTCTTCGTTCATGTCTTCAGGCAGGGATTGCTTCTGTCTGTCCTTAATATTTATTTATTTGTTTGAGATGAGTGACGTCATGATAATTTTGTTTAGGTGGCTAAGAAAATTCGTGAATTAATGGCAGACAGCGAAAACATGGATGTTCTGCATGAGAGCCATGACGTTTTTAAAAGAGAGCAAGATGAACAGCTTGTGCAGTGGATGAACAGGTGATTACATTAGAAACAAGAAGCACTGTGGACCGTGAGCGCGAGAGGCGGTTTGCGTTGTTCTTTCCCGCAGCAGATGCTCACTCGATGTTTGTTGTAGGCGCCCAGATGACTGGACTCTTTCTGCGGGTGGCAGTGGAACAATTTATGGATGGGGACATAATCATAGGGGCCAGCTAGGGGGCATTGAAGGTGCAAAAGTCAAAGTTCCCACTCCCTGTGAAGCCCTCGCAACTCTCAGACCCGTGCAGTTAATCGGAGGAGAACAGACCCTCTTTGCTGTGACGGCTGATGGGAAGGTAATGGAGTTTTTTCTGTTCACAGGGTCACTGAGCTTGAGGCAGTTGTGGCTAAATGTGGTATATGGTTCTTAGCACAGGCAAGGATCTGTACTAAAACATTTCTCAAGATTAACAATACTGTGGTATGCAGGAAGCAGCTAGCGTTCTAAGATGCTTCTGTATAATCTTTCAATTTTTAACTTCAAATTTTTAAGAAGTTTTTTAAGATGGAGTTTTGCTCTAGTTGCCCAGGCTGGAGTCCAATGGTGCGGCCTCCGCATCCTGGGTTCGAGTGATTCCCTTGCCTCAGCCTCTCTAGTAGCTGGGATTACAGGTGCCCACCACCACGCCCGGCTAACTTTTGTATTTTTAGTAGAGACGAGATTTCTGCCATGTTGGCCAGGCTGGTCTCGAACTCCTGACCTCAGGCCACCTGCTCGCTTCAGCCTCCCAAAGTGCTGGGATTACAGGTGTGAACCATTGCACCTGGTCAATTTTTTTTTTTTAATTTTGAAAATGCATGATGTATACAAAAGTATTACAGTTTTTGCTTGTGTATCACTCGTTAGTTGTAGTTCTTGTTTGCTGTGGTAAATATTATTTTTCAAAGAATTTGTTGCTGCTGGCTGGGCATGGCGACTCGATACTTTGGGAGGCCGAGGCAGGCGGACACCTGAGGTCAGGAGTTTGAGGCCAGCCTGGCCAGCGTAGGGAAACCCCGTCTCTGCTAAAAATGCAAAGATAAGCTGGGCGTGGTGATGGGTGCCTGTAAATCCCAGCCACTTGGGCAGCTGAGGCAGGAGAATCACTCAAACCTGGGACGTGGAGGTTGCAGTGAGCCGAGATCATGCTGCTACTACACTCCAGCCTGGGTGACAGAGCGAGACTCTGTCTCAAAAAGAAAAAAAAATTATTACTGCTGGTGTCTAGAAATATTGGATGTTTCTATATTGACTTTATGTCTGGTGACCTACCTGACTCTTTTTGTTCTAATGTATCTGAAAATTTCTTGTGTCGTCTTTATAGTCCAGGGTACACTGGGGAGGGAGCTGTAGGCATTCCCTGGAGGTGCGCAGGCTTGGTTCCAGCCCAAAACCACAAAGCCATGTCTCCTCAAAGCAGGCCACACAAATGTCTTGGTTTCCCAGTGGATATAAAAATGTGTGTGTGCTATAGTCTATTAAGACATCTTCAGACTCCACTTCTAATTCTAGTTCTCTTGCTGTTTCTGCCACATCTGTGGCCACTTCCTCCACCCATCTTGAACCCCTCAAGTTCATCCTTGAGGGTTGGCATCCATTTCTTCCAAATTCCTGTTAATGTTGAAATTTTCACCTCCTCCCAAGAATCACAAATGTTGTTAATGGCATCCAGAGTGGTGATGCCTTTCCAGAAGGTTTCAATTTAGTTTGTCCACATCCGTTAGAGGAATCACTATCTATGGCAGCTATAGCCTTAGGAAATGTATTTTTTAAATAACAAGATTTGAAAGTCAAAATTACTCCTTGATCCGTGCATGGGGCTGCAGAAAAGATGATGTATTCGCAGGCATGAAAACAACTTCAGTCTCTGTGTGTGTTCAACAGAGCTCTTGGGTAACCAGGTACGTTGTCAATGAGCAGTGATACTTTGAAAGAAATCCTTTTTTCTGAGCAGTAGGCCTCAATAGTGGGCTTAAAATATTTGGTGAACCGTGCTGTAAAATGTGCTGACATCCAGGTTTTGTTGTTTCTCAGCACAGCCAGAGTGGAGTTAGTATAATTCTTAAGGGCCCTAAGATTTTCAGAATGGCCAATGAGCATTGGCTTCAACAGATTTGTCTAGTACAGTCACCAGCTGCATTAGCCCCTGACAAAAGATTTGAAGCTTCGTTTCCTTTGCCCACCTGCAACTGTCTTGATTGAGTTATAGGTTTTTTTTTGTTTTTTTGTTTGTTTTTTTGAGACAGAGTCTCGCTCTGTCATCAGGCTGGAGTACAATGGTGCTGTCCTGGTTCACTGCAACTTCCATTTTCTGGCTTCAAGCAATTCTCCTACCTCAGCCTCCCAAGTAGCTGGGACTACAGGCACGCACTACCATACCTGGCTAACTTTTTTGTATTTTTAGTAGAGACAGGGTTTCACATTGTTGGTCAGGATGGTCTCAATCTCTTGACCTTGTGATCCACCCGCCTCTGCCTACCAAAGTGCTGGGATTACAGGCTTCAGCTACTGCGCCCAGCCAAGATTTGAAGCTTTGAAAGCAGACGTTGACTTCTCTTTAGCTATGAAAGTCCTAGATGGCATCTTCTTCTGCTAGAAGGCTGTTCTGTCTACGTTGGAGGTCTGCTTTAGTGTAGCCACCTTCATCACTGATCTTGGCTAGACCTTCTGGATAACTTACTGCAGGTTCTACATCAGCACGTGCTACGTTACCTTGCATTTTTATGCTATGGAGATGGCTTCTTTCCTTAAACCTCAGGAAGCAATCTCTGCTAACTTCAGACTTTGCAGCTTTGTCACCTCTCTTAGCCTTTGTGGAATCGAAGAGAGTTAGAGCCTTGCTCTGGATTAGGCTTTGGCTTAAAGGAACGTTGTGTCAGTTTTGATCTTCTGTCTGTGCCAGTCAGACTCTCTCTGTATCAGCAATAAGACTGTGTTGCATTCTTGTCATTGCATGTTTACTGGAGTTGCACTTAATTGTGCTTCAAGAACTTTTTCTTGGCTAACTGGTGCAAGAGACCTAGCTTTCACTGTGGCTTGGCTTTCAACGGACGTTCTTCACCAATCTTAATCATTTCTATCTTTTGACTTAAAATGAGAAATATGCAACTCCTCCTTTCACTTGAACTCTTAGAGGCCACTGTAGGGTTATTAAGTGGCCTAATTTCAATAAGTTGTGTCTTAGGGAATAGGGAGGTCCATGGAGAGGGAGAGAGAAGGGAGAACAGCTGGCTGGTGGAGCAGTCAGAAAATACACAGCATTTATCGTTTAAGTTCACCGTCTTCTGTGTGTACAGTTTGTGGTGCCTCAAAACAAGTACAACAGTAACATCAAACATGACTGATTGCAGGTCACCGTAACAGATAAAATAATAATGAAAAAGTTTAAAATATTGCATGAATTATCAAAATGTGAGGTGGAACCAGTAAGTCAGCACATGCTGGTGGAAAAGTGGTGCCGATAGGCTTGATCACGGTGGGGTTGCCACACGCCTGCGGTTTGTAAAACACTATCCGCGAGGTGCAGTAAGTCGAGGTGTGCTTGTATACAGGAGGGATCATTGTGAACCGTGTCAGAGGGAGACTGCTAGCACAGGTATCAAAGTGGCCTAGGTTTGAAATATAGTTCCTCTTTTTCTATTCTTCGGAGAATTCTGTTTCTTTTCCTTGTTTCTCTGGTTATCTTAACATATGTACTTAAAAACCTAAAGTTAATTAGTATCTCTCCCCTCCTCCCAATCAGCGGCCCCTTGCTACCCAGTGTTTGAGTTTCAGGCTGCTCCCCTCTGCCACAGACACTGTGGTTGCTTTGGTTGTTTTATATGGACCATAGTTTTTTTGGAGTTAGTCAAATGCTTCACATCTTCGCTCACTATCATTTCTTACCATCATTTGCTGCATCTCAGATCTTATAAAATCATTTCCTTCAACTTTAAGCGTATCCTTTTCAGTTTACTTTAGTGAGATTCATTCTTTGGTTTGTTTCAAAATATCTTTATTTTGTCCTTTTTCTAGGATGGGGGTTGGCAAGCATTTTCTGTAAAGGGCACAGTAGCGTTTTCAGCTCTGTGGGCCACATGGTCTCTGTTGCAGCTACAGAAGCAGCCAGGACATTCTGTAAATGACCGGGTGTGGCTGTGTTCCATGACACCTCACTGACAGCAGCAAACGATGGGCCTGACCGGGCGGCTCCTGTTGTCGCTGTGAATTCTCAGGGGCAGACCTCTCTCTCCCTGTCAGGGCTGGGGCTGAGAAAGGCCACTTTCTGTGTTGTTCGTACTTGTTATTCACAGTCACTGAGGGGCAGCCCTTTGGAGCCCTGCCTTCTGCAGGAAGTCCTGGAGGTGAGTGCACTTCCCCGCACCCTGTACACTTGAGAGCCACAGACCCTCCCCACTGAAAGCTGCCTTTGGGAATGGGGCTCATGTGTCCCCCTGAGTTTGGGCCTCACTTCCTGCGTTGGTCCTTGTGGCTTCTTTACTATTATGTCAGTAAAGCAGCAGGTTTGAAAGATGTCTAAAACAGCATGGAACCCCATTTAAGTTTTTATCAGCAGGGATGTTTACGTTCATTTGGGAAGAGGCAGTCTGATTGTGTGTGTGGTTTCTTTTTTAATCATAGATGTTTTGTGTCCTGAAACATCCCACTTAGATGGAAAAAAAAAGGCATTTTGTTTTTTCCTGAGTGGTTTGTATGTTGCCCTGCTGAAATATTAAAATGTATTTGTTCTTCTGTGGGTATGTTTTTGTGGCTGTTATTGTCAGAGATCTGCACATAGTAGATAATTAATTTTTTTTTAACTTTTCTTGGTATTAATTGTAGTTGGTATTCTAGATAAAAATGGAAGAGATTCCAGGGAGAAGACCTTATTTTCACAATATGTTCCCTGAATTTGGAATTTTTAATAGTCATGTTTTTATTTCATTTCTAGAAGTTTGATAGAACATGTATAAAGTCATAAACATTCCTGTGATTTTTAACTTTAAATTTCATTTTTGTGTGGTAAAAATGTCTAAAGCATGGATTAGGTTTGTGAATTACTAAATATAGGGGATGTTGAGGTTAAAACCTGATGTTGCTATTGCTTTTTCTTTTCTTAGCTGTATGCCACTGGGTATGGTGCAGGTGGCAGACTGGGAATTGGAGGGACAGAGTCGGTGTCTTCCCCAACATTGCTTGAATCCATTCAGCATGTGTTTATTAAGAAAGTGGCCGTGAACTCAGGAGGAAAGCACTGCCTTGCGCTGTCTTCAGAAGGAGAAGTTTACTCTTGGGGTGAGGCGGAAGATGGAAAGCTGGGTCATGGCAGCAGAAGGTATTGTGTGAAAACATGTTTTCAATGTCGTGTTTTTCTTTGTGTTGGTTTTAATGCTGGTACAATGTATTGGCATTTGGCTTTTCAAAGAAACATTTGCAATAATCTGCTCAAACTAAACAATGTTAATGACTCATTTGGCAGAAATAGTTTTATGTGCCAAGATGAGGGCCTACCTGTGTGACTTCTCTGTTGGGAGGAAAATGAAGTCAATTCTCAGTCGTTGATGACAAGTACTAAGCAAACTTCTTTTGGTCATTCTCCCTTAAATGATCCACTGAGTGATATTTGGCATTTTGTGTAACGTGCAAGATACTAGAACCGCAAATACCGAGGAAATGGCAGGGGTGAGGGGGAAAGATCACACAATTCCACCATTTTTTAAACAGAGGAATCAAAGTCACATGTTATAAACAATTAATGAGAACTACCAGCCAAGTTGGAGTGACAGGACCTTTTTATCCCACGGGTAACTGAAACACCACATAAGATAAACAGGCCCAGCGTGGTGGTGCACACCTGTCATCCCAGCACTTTGAGAGGCCACGGTGGGTGGATCGCTTGGACTCACGAGTTCAGAAACAGCTTGGGCAACATGACGAAATGCCATCTCTATGAAAAATACAAAAAAAATTAGCCGGATGTGGAGGCACACACCTGTAGTCCCAGCTACTTGGGAGGTGGAGATTGCAGTGACCTGAGATCGTGCCACTCCACTCCAGCCTGGGTGACAGAGTGAGACCCTGTCTTAAAAACTAATAATAATAAATTACATTTAATCATACCCCCAAAGACATTGAATATCAGGCGACAAAATACAGTGTTCCCTGAGTCATGGGAAGCAAGGCGAGTTCTAAGGGATGATGTTTAATGGTATTAAGATAGTCAGTTAGAATGAATAAGATCAAGCATGATAGCACAGCAGGAGACTACAGACAATAATACCTTATGGTACATTTTAAAATAACTAAGAGAGTATAACTGGATTGTTTGTAACACAGGAAAGGATAAATGCTTAAGGTGATTGATTAACCCATTTACCCTGATGTGATTATTACACATTGTATGCCTAAATCAAAAATATTTCATATACCTTATAAATATATATACATCTATATACCCACAAAAATTAACAATTAAAAAACCAAGGCAGGTTCTAAAAATTGCCCAGTGGACTTCCTGCAGAAAGTTTCCAGGCTGTGGCACAGAACACCAGGCAGATCCTGGCAGACCCCCTTAGTTTAGAGAAGACAGATCTGGAGGTCCAGGGAGGCTGAGACACAGAGCCTGCAGATACCAGAGTGGAGAGAGCTGCACAGAGAAGACTGCTGAGGCCTGCAGAGCCTGACATGGCAGGCACAGCCATGAGGCTGAGGAGCTCACCACCCGAGGGGATGAGAAGGAAGAGTCCCCAAAGCTCACACAGGGCAGCGGATGGAGCCTGCTCTCAAAACCTCACAATTTACAGGGCAGCAATTAAAGTACTCAGAGTGATGTTACCCAGTATTGGGGAAAAATTAGCCATGGACGAATTGTTGCTATCACACCTCCAACAAAGCTTAAAAGCAAGACCTGAAAGGATGAAACCACTTATAGGTAACTTATCAGAGAGATCAAAGCTCAAGAATATTCTTATGAATACAAACGTTAAGCACCCAATAAGGTAAATCTCACAATATCCTGCATCTGATAAAAAATTACCAAGCATTCAAGGGAGCAGGAAAATACAACTTACATGAGGAGAAAAATCATCACTTGAAACTGACTCAGACATGATAGAAGTGGTGGAATTACTCATTAAGAACTTTATTAAAATGTTATTTTAATAAAGCTAGAAGAGAACTTGAATGTGTTAGGTAAAGCCTGGAAGATATTTAAATGCCCAAATCAAAGTTCTAAAGATGAAAAACACAGTGTCAGAGATCAAAAATACATTGGATGGGGTTCATGGCAGATTGGACATTGCAGGAAAAGGAGATGAGTGAACTTGAAGACGTAATAAAAGCAACTAGAAGTAAACAGAAGGAAGACTGTACCAATGAAGAGAACATCAGAGAGGTGCGCTGTGGGACAACCCCAGATGTCCTCATATCTGCATAATCAGAGCCACTAAAGGAGGGGCACATGGGGGATTTTGAAGAAGTAATGGCTAAAAAATTTCCAAGTTGAAAAGTATAAGTCCACTGATTCAAAATGCTTAAAAAACCCTAAGCAAAAGAAACATGAGGAAAACTACACTAAAGCGAGTTGGTCAAGACCAGAGAAAAAGAGAAAATATTTTAAAAGCAGCTGGGGTGAGGGTGAGGGTGGGGGTGGGGGGACGAAACATGTTACATACAGGGAAAAGGTAATCGTAGCTACAGATGTCCTAGGGGTCAGTGCCAGCTAGAAGACAGTGGATTTTCTGCAAGTAAAAATTATTGTCAACATTTTTTTTTTTTACCCAGCAGAAATATTTTTTCAAGAAAGGAGTTGAAATAGACTCATTTAGATAAACACAAACTGAAAGAACTCATCACCACAGACCTGCACAACCGAAACCTTAAAGGAATTTCTTTAAATTGAAGGAAAATTATACCAGGTAGAATCATGAATCTACCAAAGAAATGGAGAAATGTTAATGACGTGATGTTTTTCCTTACTATAGATCTTTTAAAGAGATAACTGAATATTTCAAGGACACAATACAAATAAATTAATGCGTTTAAGAAGTTAATTGTAACACAAAGACTGGGGGAGGAAGTGGAAGTAGACTGATGTGAAGTTATATTCGTGTTGTAGTAGGTGACTTCAGAATAGACTGTGATAAGTTAGAGAGGTACTCCACACACCCCCAAGGCAACCAGTAAAATAACACAAAACAGTTTTATCTGATGAACCAACAAAGAAGTTGCGGTGGGGAGCAATACACAGTGGGGTCTGTTGGGGGGAAATAGGGGAGGGACAGTGAGGGGTGGGGAGTTGGGGAGAGATAGCATGGGGAGAAATGCCAGATATAGGTGAAGGGGAGGAAGGCAGCAAATCACACTGCCATGTGTGTACCTATGCAACTATCTTGCATGTTCTTCAAATGTACCCCAAAACCTAAAATGCAATAAAAAAACAGAAGTTGCAGTGAAGTCATAAAACATAATCAGTTCATCTAAAAGAAAGCAAAGAAGAAGAAAACAGCAGCAAAGAACAGATAAATAAATAGCAAGATACAGACTTAAACCTTAATACACACATGTATTTTTTTTAGAGCTGGGGTCTTGCTTTTGTCACCCAGGCTGGAGTGCAGTGGTATGATCGTGACTCACTGAGCCTTGAATTGCTGGATTCAAGCAATCCTCCTGTCTTTGCCTCTTGACTAGCTAGGACTACACGTGCGTGCTACCAAACCCAACTAATTTATTTTTATTTTTTGTAGAGGTGGGATCTTGCTGTGTTGCACAGACTTGTCTCAAATTCCTGGCCTCAAGCAGTCCTCCTGTCTCCGCCTCCCAAAGCACTGGCATTATAGGTGTGAGCCTCTGCACCCCAGCTGCCAAATATGATTATAGCCACATCAGATGTAAATGATTCCAACAGCCCAGTTTAAAGTCAGAAGTTGTCAGCATGAATATAAGAGCAGGATCAAGCCGTACACTGCCTTCAGGGGCCCCACTTTAAATACAGACACATGAATGGACTAAAAGCAAAAAGAAGGGAGAGACATACCATGCTAACGTGCATCAAAACAAAGCTAGAATACCGTGCTAACGTCATACAAAGTAGAATTCATAGTAGAGAATGTTGACAGGAACAAAAACAGTAGTATCCGGACGATGCAGTGGATAGGTCATCAAGAGGACATAATAATCCTAAATCTTTGCACACTTCATAATAGATCTGCATACATGAAATTAAAGCTGCATGGAGAAACAGACACATCCACAGTTTAACTAGAGTTTGAATATCCCTCCTTCAATAATTGGTAGAACAAGTACGTTAAAAAAAATTGATAGCCGATTTGAACAACTGTGTCAACTAACTTGACCTAATTGACATTTTTTAGGACACTCTACTGGACAGATTTTACATGCTTTTCAAGTGCATGAGGAATACCTACCAACATAGATCGTGATTTGGACCATAAAACAAATCTTACACATCAGAAGGAGTCAAGTTATGTAAAATATATTCTCTGTCCACAGGGAAATTAAATTAGAAATTAATAACAGATCCCTGGAAAACCCCCAGTATTTGGAAAGTGAAACATTTCTAAATAACGATGGATCAAAGAATGAATCAGAAGTAAATTACAAACAGTTTTGAAGCGTGAAAATGAAAACAGTGTACCAAAATATGTGGGATCCTGCAAAAGCAGAACTTAAAAGGAAATTTATAGCATGAAATGCCTATTTTAAAAAAGAAAAATGGTCTCAGAACTATGACCTTAGTGTCCATCTTAGAAAACTTACAATAGGCCAGGCGTGGTGG